TTTTTTCAAGCAGGGGCACACGGCATCCATGACCTACCGTGTGCAACGAAGCTGCGGTCATGGATGGGAAGGGAAGGCTGATCACCTTCCTGTACCTGCTTTCAACATACTGACTCCACTGGTTCCCCTTGCTGCAGTTTTTTTGATTTCATGGTTGTTCTCATGCTACCTTCCCCATAAACAGGTTTCCACCGCTCGTGAGCTGCCGCTGAGTCAATGCAGATGCGCATCAACACTTGTTCAACAATACTTTTCTGCGGACCCATGCACCTTTCCGTTCCTTCACCTTCCTTCTCAACTTGGGAACTGAGTTAACTGAAAACCAATGTCAGAGTGTGAACCGCTCAGCCGTCCCACTTGGGTGCTGGGTGTGATTCCCGTCACTGGGGCGCTGAAGTCATGCTGGAAATCGTGTAACAGACTTTTCGGATCTTTCATTCCTTGGATTTTCTTAACTGACTCCTTTTCACCACTGGATTAACTGCTCCAATAGCCGCCGGGCTTGTACGGAGAATGAACCCAAACGCGGTTTCTACCCCAAACACCCCAACCCCTCCCACCCACTAATTAGGGTAACAGAGGGAAATGGTACTCGGCACACTTGTGTGTCGGTGCCTTTCCCTCTGCTGTCCCTTTTCTAGTCTTCTCTACCCGGGCGGTCTAAGACTAAAGTCCCGCTCCCTAACTATTGCATTTAATTCACTTCCGCTAAGTAATCAGTAATTCTAGAGTGCTAAGTATTCATACACACACACGGACACACACATGTACATACACCTCCCTGCCCCCCCCGCTTTCCTTCTTGTGCTTTCTCTCAGGCTTTTTAGGTTGCTCTTGAGGCTCGTTTCCCTACCCCAGTCAAGGGCTAAGTATTCACTTTTTTCTACTCCTACCTTTCTCTCTTGCCCTCTTAGCGCTGCTCTTTCTGTGTTTCTTTCTTTTGTTTCTAAGGCTTTTTAGGTACCTATTCAGGTCGTTCGCACGTGCGCCCATACTGACTCCACTGGTTCCCCTTGCTGCTGTTTTTTTGATTTCATGGTTGTTCTCATGCTACCTTCCCCATAAACAGGTTTCCACCGCTCGTGAGCTGCCGCTGAGTCACTGCAGATGCGCATCAACACGTGTTCAACAATACTTTTCCGCGGACCCATGCACCTTTCCGTTCCTTCACCTTCCTTCTCGACTTGGGAACTGAGTTAACTGAAAACCAATGTCAGAGTGTGTTCGACTGCAATGTCAGAGTGTGTTCCCAAGGAAGAACTCTATTATATACTTCCCTGGAATCAGTTGATTGGACCCACTTGATTGCCAGGAGTGCCAGTTGTACTGACACCGACCTCACCAACCTTTGCTTGCTTTCGAGGAGAAAAACTGGTGTCACCTGTCGCTGAGTGTCCTGCAGTGGGAGATGCCCTTGGAGCCTGTTTTCATCCGGAAAAGGATGCATGAACAAAATGACGTCGACGGGTGTTCTGCTCAAAAAACAAGAAATGAGCATGAACAATCATGTGTTGCTTCAACAGCTGCGGAGAAGACACTTTAATAGCAGAGCAACAAGAACGGTATATATGAGTGTCCATTGTCCGGTTGGGTGTCTCAGATTCGTCGATCGTGAACATCTTCAAAGGACCGCCCGCCCTGGCCTGTTGATAACTCTCTTCGGGTTGGGTGGAGATACACGTTTGGATCGATCAGAGACGCGAGACCCGACGTGTTCCGTGTTCGTCACCGAAGGTGTTCCGTGTTCGTGTCGACGGAGTTCCAGAGTTCCAGAGTCGCACACAAGACATCCAACCGATGGGACCAAGAAGTGACTGCGGGACTGCACGCGGGCGCACGCCTGCGCAGGTGCTTCTCCTAGTCCTCTCTGCAGATGCTTGGGACTTGGGAGAACCAGGAGATCCAATGGTGGACCGCACGGGAGACCAAAGTCTGCACAAGCCTTATCCCATCCTTTTCAAATGTCAACTTGGGTCGACCACCTTGGAAGCTGCTCCACCAATTCCGGAAGCTGTAGACACCCTGGCCCTGGCTGGGTGGTCTATCTATTTCCTTCGTCCCAAGGGGTCGGAACGTCGACCCAGGTGGTTCAACACCCCAACAACTGGGATAGGAAGAGTGTGTAACAAGCCTACACCCCATCACACGACTAAAACAAGCCTAATGCTACAGTAACAGGTCATGGATTGTTGGGTCATCTTTGTATATGATCCATCCATATCCATCCAACGAGCGAATGCGTTCTTTCTTTGAAGTGGGGCAGAGCAACCCAGGGCTAAGCCACGGGGGTCTCTATTCTGACCAGCGAATGGCGAGAAATCCTTTTGGAACGCACCTTCAGTGGTGGACCCATCTCGAAAGGGTGGCTTGTCGGTGGTGTTTTCTAGGTCCTTCAGTTCGTACAGCAAGACGGAGGAATGCCTTTGGTGGAATCATTTTTTGGTAGACGTGACATCATGGAGGTCATGTTTCTTTTCTCTACGCGATCGATCCACCTCCGGGCAAGGTGCTTGAGAATATTTGGCATGCAAACGATTTTCTGAGTTTTTGAGAAGTTTTGTCACCCATTGTGTGACATGGCAGTGTCTCGAAAATATGGTGTTCCTGAGCTTTAGTTACTTTCCGCTGTACTGGGGCAAGCCATGGCTTGTGCACTCAGACAAACTGGTGCCCATGCAGTGTCGAAGTATACCAGGATACCAGCTGCAAGTCGTTATACCACTGATCACGATCAAAGTGAAGGCACTTGCGATTTCCCAACAGATCAATCACCCAGAAGGACGGGGACGATGCCTGCGATAGATACACCTCCCATTTCACACCTGGTCGCTATCTCTGGAGACGAAAGCACTTGCCCTTTGGGGCCATCGGAAGTCTGCAGTACTCATGTGAGAGTTGAGCAACAAGTCTGTCACTACGTGTTGAGGATGTCCAATGCAACCATTCCCAACACACCACAACCAGACAATAGTGTGACCTGTAATTGTATATGAACTAGCCTGTATTATCCCTACCTGCGACCCCCCAAACCTCCAAAATTACTTGCCAAAGGTTTGTCAAAGGACAAGATTCTTCGTCACTATGTTCAAGAAACCATATACAATATAACCAGACAAAGACGTGCCGGAGCTACTAGACAATATATAACCAACCGCCACCCCTCTTATCTCCTTTGACATCTATAGTTATTGAAAGTTCACCCCAAAACATCCGCTATGATGGCACTTGCCCCGAAACGAAGAGATCAACGACCCATCGCGCTTCGGATGCCCCATGGCGGATGAAGCGCCTGCGCTTTGCCGATGGCAGCGACTCCCAGGAGTGGGCACTGCGGAGACGCAGCACAGGATGCTGTAGAATGTAGAATCACATCATAAACCCATCCTTTTAGGGTGATTTTATGGAATTTTGTTCATCGAGAGTCTACATTAAGAATATCCTTTGTTGGGCTTCCAGCACCTTGGTCACCCACAATCTTTTAGACCCCATACTACTCAATCAAACCGAGAGGAAAGCCCTACTAGGGAAGCTAAACGTTCTAGCACGTTATCATGTGTTCGTTCTTGAGATGTTGACCTGTGTTTTGGCCCATTTCAGTGACTTGTTCCAGCTACTTTACTTACAGAACTCCAAATGGTTCCAAGACGCGAGGAAGCGACTGAAACGACTATAGGTTGTAGTATGTTGTAGTCATTTACAAGGGTGAAGATCATCATTATGGCTCCACTCAGCTCCATTTTTCAAGCTGAGGTCCTAATCAATCATGGGATCCAACTGCTCAGTGAAACCGCCACCGACACCGCCTCCCTCCCCAGGAGAAGCGCTCCAAGGGAGGCCGTGGACTGGGCACGGTGCTTTGCTACAACGGCCGGCGGCAGACGGGACGCGTGCGCTGTGACGATGGTGCCTTAGAACTGAGCGCGGGACGCCGGCGGCGCAAGTGGCGAAGGGGGCAGCGTCGCTGGGTTCGCTGGCGCAGGAGACAAGCTTTGGACAAGGGTTTTGCACACATGAAGCTCACCCACCGCGGTCGTTCGCAGCTCCCAAGGACCCCGGGAGCTCGGGGTCGTCCACCAGGTACGAGAAAAACCGGTCGGTAGATGCTGTTGCCATGACCCACAGCCATATTAGGAGACCCCATAAGGCCCAATTGGTTTGATAGTTAATGTTCCTTCTTCGAAGAGGTCAAACCAAGAGGTCTGGAGAGCAAAATCCCCATGGTGAATCTATTCTAAAAGGTTCAAGAGGTGGAAACTGCGCTGGGCGGAATGACATGGAAGCTGGCAAGGAACAGTGTTTGTTTGTGACAGCGGTGCTCTTGAAACAGTATTTACATGTGTTTACCCAACGAAGAACAACCGAGAAGATTTGTTTGGCTTGATGGTGGGCTTTGACACTGAACGATTTCTTATCATGTGGTGATTTCTAGGAAGCTTTTGTTGCTTTCCACGTTGCAGTTTCAGTGTACTACTGTTGTGTACTTTGTGTTTCTACCGTTACTGTACTATATCTGGTTTAATTAAGTTTCCAGGACACTAGTTTAATGGATTTTGACAAGTTGGTTTGCCGTGAACAATAAGCATGTTTGATAGATGATCCCAATTTGTAGCCTGTGGTTCTATAAACAATAGGTTTCTGGCTTGTAGAGGTCAATTGAGTCATCCCTCCAGCAAAAAGTGCATGAACACGTGTCAACACCATATCAACAGAACCTGTTTTTATAGCTATGTTCTGATGTGTGCTTCAAGAGTATGCAGACAACTCAGAGAACCCTTCATTATCCCTTTAACAAAACGCCGCTGAAGAGCGCTGATAACCAGTGTGCAAACCTCCACACTTAATACCTCTGGACATCTCTCGTTCCTTTCAAAACCGCAGACCCTACAGTAACCCCCCATGACACCCTCATGCCGAATTCGGCGACTTTGGATTCCCCAGTTCGGCCCATGTTTGGAGGTGAAGAGCTGCTGATCCCCAGCGGCGGTGCGGTGAACCGGAACATGGTGCCGCTGACCCCGTCGGGGCTCATGCGCCTCGTCCACATCCACCGTGGTTCGGTTCGGTCGAGTCCACAGGGTCATTGAGGTACCGCACTGAGTCGGAGGCGTGTGGCGGTGGTCCTTCTTTTTTTACGAAGCACGAGGTCATTTCCGACTGGAGCTGATGTTTTTGAGAGCGAACGCTGGTGTGAGAGCCGAAGCTGTGGTTGGTGGGACAGATGGGATGATTTTTTGCTCTTCATGACGAAAGATGGCAGCATTTGTAAAGCGCCCTTAGAAACTTATAGGTTGAAGTGTTAGTGTTTTTTATTTTCATCATATTCTATATAGATGTTCTTACATTGTTCCGTAGAATCTGCCCCCGCCACCTAAATTCATCACTCATCAATACTCATCACATCACATGGTCTTGTCGTGCAAAAGATGCACAGCGGACCATGGGACCAAGGGAGACCTCGTCAGATGGTGAGACAACGTGGATGTTTGAGACAACGTGGCAGACCTTGCCTGCTGACAGCATGGTCGGGGTTGAACTATTTGTGAGAAGGTGTTTGGAGTGGGATTGAGGGTACACCGTGACACATATGAGCAGATAGTTGGAGGCCCATGTAGGGATCAATCATCCAATGTTCATGTTCTTTTTGTGGCCAATGGACTGCTTCACTACCTACTATACCAGGCATTCCCATCCATCTCGCCTCAGACGCCCCAGCAGATCCATCGGCCAGTGAGGCATGGCACTCGAGTGCAGCTGCTGCCCGATGGCCACGAGAAGAAGGCGGTCTCCGTGCGCCCCGCCGAAGCAAAGCAACAGGGGCTCACCGTGGGGGTCGACAACCAGGTGAACTACCGAGGCGTGAGACGGCGTCGTATTTCATGTCGAGCGCACGTGGGGGTTTGTTGCGGTAGGGCGTCCGGTTGGAAGCAGTGGGGCGGTGGAGACAGCTTATTCTTGGTGGGGGAAGGGGAGGCGTTTGGAGTGTGTGTTTCAGTGTTGCAAAGGGTGGCCAGGCGACTAGGAGGCTCAGCGTTTGCGTTGTCTTTGTGCTCTATGCTTGCTCTTTCATTTATATCTGTTCCTTTTTCTTTCTCACGTGGCCAAACATTCACACCAAGCATCACACAAAGCCATCGCTGCCGCTCGACTTCCTGCCTCGCGTTCAGGCCTCGTTCGGGCCGTCGTTGGAAGGCGAAGATCGCAGTGAGCTCTGTGCGGCGGACGTCCTGGACATCGGCTTTCTCATCGGTGCCGCGGGCGAGGGAGACCCCCCCCAAACCGTGTGTGATGTTCAAGAGGGAGACCCCCTCACTCCTCACCCAATGGGTAGTCAGACTTCTCTATTTCCTTGCTTCCAAGGGGTTCGTTGCCTGGGAGGTCTCCCTATTTTCAGACACACACACATATAGGGGTGGAGACTCAGATTGGAGTAATTTTGGTTGGACAATGGCAGGGAAGAGGACATGAGGGGTCATTCATGGTCATTCCAATAAGCTTCCTAGAATACGATCAAAACAATGACAACATGTTGTTTTCATAACAACAGAATGAATATGATATAGAATTTGTGGTGAGTGCACCAGGTGATGAGCGTTACTAGGAGGAGTTGTCATTCAGGACCATTCGCAGGTCGGGAATCGCACCCCGTCTTTACACCACCTTTTCTGTTGAAAACCATGGTGTTCAATTGAGCAGCTTCAAACACCTGGATTATACAAAAAAAGTAATAGGGGTTTTCGAAGCTGTTCAATTGTTGGGGGTGGAATGAACCTATCAAAGCATTTCTACACTCTTCTCAGCTAGGCGAGTTCGCTCAGTTTGGCTCACATTTAGCTTAAGCTTAAGGCCAAGAAAAGCCATATGTTTTTTCAAACTCACCATTGTTTGGAGACTATGTGATTGAAAATCGATCTAAAGAAACTCAAAGAATATATTTCATTGTTCTAGAGTTTTTGGAGACCACAAAGCAATTCGGATCGATTCCGGCACGGTGCCCCGCACCAATTCACTCCACTCGCCAGGGATCCTCGACGGTCATTGCGGCGGCCAATGCGCTTCCCACGTGGCCAATGGCTTTCCGAAGATTCTCCACGACGTCTATGGCTTCGAGGTGAACCAAACACGAGGCCGTCGAAGTGACCGATCCCGGAAGAAGTGACCGGTGGACCCGAGGGAGGAGAGGTGGGGAGCTGAAGTGACAGGTGCCGTCCACGTCAAAACACGGCTTTGGAGCTGCAGCGACTTCGGTGCCACGCGGTCGTGGCAAGAGCACGACGTTGCCATTTGCACTTGCCATCAACACCTTCAAGTCAATGGTGTAGTCAGTGGATCAGGCATGCTTGGCCACTTGTTTCCTCCAATGGTGCCTTTTCAAAGTGGGGTTCCGTCTCCACCAGCCAATAAGTCACCTCCACTGCAGGTTTAAGATTGAGGAACAGTGGAGGGGGTGGTTTAAGTGATTATTATATGGTCACGGCATATTCATGCTCACCATCAAATACATACACTGCAGTATGTACAGTATCTCTATATGTACACAATATATACAGTGTGTTTTTTCATTGTTCATCACCTATTACTATTTCACCACATGTGACTCACTTGACAAAGATGTCACAACAACTAAGCTCCAAGCTCTTGATGAAAAGCTCGCTGGAGCTCCAAAGTTCACTAGCTAGAGTTCTGCCAAACCATGCCAAACCCCATATGGATCCACATGCCTTCTGAGAAGTTGAGCAGTGTCGACTGTTGACGGCTTGGAGGCTCCAGTCGATCATGGTGGATGTTTTAAGGGTTTCGACAGGTTTCGACCCTGGACTCGGCCCTAAGTCTCACGCTTCGACACGGACAAGGCGTGGACACTTTGAGCTGCGCCCGCGAGACCGAGCTCCTGCGCGACGTGCTGCGCAGCTCCTGTCGCGCCGCAGAGCGCGACCTGACGCTCGTCGTCGACAGCGCAGGGGATTTCAGTGGCCATTGAATGTGGAAGTATAGTAGAAAGGTGGCCCATGGGTTCTGCGAGTGGATGTGAGTCAAACTGAAGTTTAAACATTATAACTAATCCAGGTGCTGACCCATGGGAATGTCATGACAAGGCACCCTTTGATGAATCGGAATGGATTCCACCACCCGAGCCCATGCTTGAGCCGTAGAACCCAGGCAGGCATACGACTACCAACCAGTCAGTGCTTTTTGGCCACTCGTGATGGACATGAGTGTGTTGTGAGCCCAAAACCGTTTGTTGATACGCATACCCCAGCCCAAAGTTGTGGCAATTATGGAGGGAACAATTGATTCTGACGATTTGTTGGGTAATGAAAAGGATATGAGCTCATCCTTGGTCTTCTATCCCTACAGGGATCCACATATACCTTTTCAGATGGCACAACTGGACCCTCCAAGCCATAGCCCTATGCCTCCCCTGCTCACCCGATCCGACGCGATGCGACGCGACGCCCGGACAGGATGTTGACTGCTTCGAAGGGTCACTGGACCGATGGGCTCCTTGGCGGGAAGAGGAACACCGTAAACACCCTCCGTAGCTGCGAAAGCCAAAGGGGAAAGGTTGTTTTATCTGTTTTTATATGGATGGAACCCTGAAAGCTGGCGGGCATAGTAGCTGGCAGAAGGTGGGTTCTGAATTTGGCAGTGATTTGTCCTGAATGTGTATTTGGGCTTTTGAAGAGGTTTGGGGCACAGAAGGAAGGACGATTCAATGACTCGAGTGCAAGTTTTGTTGATTCGCACGAAGACCGCTCGTGATTCGCTCGTGACGCGCTCGTGGACTGCCAGCAGCACGGCTTTCGGGTCTCCAGGTCCAGGTCACCCGAGAAAAGAGGTCCTTCGGGGTGGACCATTCCATGGCCTTTTGAAGTCTTTTGAACAGACTCGGTGTTGCATCATGGGTCAGACTAATTATTGTAAGCCAATGTTCATGTTTTTTTGAAATCCGCCCTTGCCATTAAGCGCCATTAAGTTGGTATCTCAATTGTATATTATCTTCGAGTTATTTCAATATTAATATACCCAAACACTCCATCTATGTCAAATTTGCCTACATGGGGGTGGTTGGGGTCAACGGCGCGGCATTCTCCCGTCCCATGGGTCGTGGGAGATACACACGCCGTCCCCGTCGTCCCCGTTTCCACGTGCCGTTCGTTTTGTCAGGACTTCAGCCATGTTTGCCCTGCTGGCTCATGGCTTCGACGAAGAGGGTGCGCCAGTGACGGTGCCGGGCACCAAGGGCGTGGCCAAGGTCTTCTTAGCATCTCGGTGTGCACTGCCTGGCACGGTCGGAGTAGGTATAGACAGCACTTGTCTTTTTTGTATATAGTAGATGTGGTAGGGGTGTGTGTGTGTGTGTGTTTTTCTTTGTGGACCAAACACTGTCCGTAGGATTCTAAGCTTGGAGCCTCTTGCACATGTCTTGAACCAACAACTGTCAACAAACTGCAGAAGTAGATAGAGAACAGCACTGAACGTGGAAGTCCGACAAGAGATAGAACATATTAGTTATTGAAGATTCTCCACGGACTCCACAGTGAGACTATGACAAACTTAAGTTGTGATATGCCCCTTGTCTATTGTCTAATGGACACCACTTGAGATCCAGTTGAGGCAACCCTTTTTTCAATTTCTCCACACCTCAACCGCTATCAGCGCAACTGTCGTAACGGCAGAACAACAGTCAGTGCTTAGGAGACTTGACAAGTTGCTTGTCGGACATGGGTGGACACTGGGGATGATGATGATGTTTACCAAGGGTGCTCTACCAGTCTCTACTTGCTTGGATTCCTCCGACTCCTCTTTGCCTCCCACATCTCCTGCCCAGGCCTGGTGTGGTGACACTCGTGCTTTGCTGCTGCATGGGCGGAAGGTGGTGCCCTTGTCGGAGGACCATGTGCCCAAGAGGCCGGTCGAGTCGGCAAAGCAGCCGAGTCGTTTTCCGGGCGACGGCCTCAACGCTCTCCTCGGTGTTTCAGAGCAAGAGACGTTCGTCCAAAGGGCGTATACTGACCATGCAAGCACCGGAGGATCGGAACGAACGATCAAAAACACTTAAAACATAACACATTGGCCAATTAGCCTTCCTTCGGTGGTCTGTGCTACTTGCCTTGAAATCATGTGGCATGCAGCGATGAACCTGGAAGCTTGGAGGCAACTGTAGAGGGTCGTCTTGGGTGTGTGTTTTATTAGGGAGACTTCCCAACCCCGCAGGGTCTTTGGGTGTGTGTTTTTTGATTTTCCCAGAGGTCGAACTGAGGGGTCTCCCTATTGACACACACCCCATTGTGTGCTGAAGATGCAAGGAATCCACAGTTCAAGTTCTCCAATCCGTGAAGCGGCATGCCCAAACGCGTCCTTCCCTAAACCTAAAGGTTTTTTTTTCAGAATGTCCTGCAATCGACCCCCTCGATGAACCAAAGCAGGCGGTTTCCTTTGTACTACACATCGCTGGCCAACACGGCTGGCCATCTGCGGTGCCGTGGTGGTTTTCATCGCAGGAAAGACGAGTACAACCGGGTGAAGGCAGCAGGTGGCAAAGTCCTGGACTTCGACGGGAAACTGAAGGCCCCAGGACCGAGTTCGCGGGAAGGTCCTCCCCCCAGTGTCGGATGCGGAAGGTTTGGAAGGGAAGGAGACAGAAACGGATTGAAGAGATCCCCCACAGACTCCATAAGACTGGCATATGTGCTGATTAGTTGGGGTGGTTTAAGTTTGGTCAATGTAGACACAGATGGCATACGTGGAGTGTGTGGTGTTGATGAATAAGCCCACCCAGCCCAACTGGATGGTCAACATCTCCATGATGGATGGTGTTAAATTGTTTAGGTCAATGGCTCAACCGTGACGTGAGTAGCCTGACACCCCTTACATCCGCAAATCAATCTGCAGAGACGTGAGGAGAAACGTTTCAACAGCAAGAGTGCGTGAGCTCGGTCCCAAAGCAGGAACACATGTAGCAACACATGTAGCAAGATTTAAAGAAAGAAGAACACCACATGTGGGAGACGCGTAGGTATGGGGTAGGTTTCTATAGTTGTTTTGTTTGCGAAAACAACATGTATGTGTTTATATGTATAAGCCTTGTCAGACTTATCAAGTGCTTTCAGTGAACCAGCATGCATCCAACATGTTTTCAGAGAACCCGCATGTGTATGTGCTTGTTCCAGTGTCCAGACGATCAGACATTTCCGATCGCCAGGGTTGACACGGCGATCACGGCCTCAGCAGTGTAGACACCTCAGTACCAGAGACGAACCGCCCTCATAGAACACGGTGCCTGTCCAACAAGACAGGTGGGACGAAGAGACAAATACAAGGAGAAGAAGTCCTCAGGCACGCGTTGCTTCGGGTCAGGAACTGCACCAGTTTTGCAACATATCCAGGGGCCTCATAGGGTCCGGATGTGCCGGTTGCACGCCGTTCGACGAAGTCTCTGTGGACTTCGTGGCTGGATGTAGCGCTTCGATGTGTAGCCTGCAGAACATGGAACGTTGAACAAACCAGAACAAACAATCAAATAGATCAAATAGTTACAACATGTTACAACATGTTATGCATGTAATAACCGAATTCAGAGCAGCACACTGAGGGCCTCAGGGTCAGGCACCCATTCTGATGAGAATACATCGTGTTCTGAGTCTTAACATATATAGAAATAGTAGCTGAGCCACGTAACACCTCAACGCAAGCTACGTCCTGCCAACTAGCTAGGGCAGATCAATACTGGAACATGCCTTGTAGACATGGGAGAAGTGCATTTGTCTTCTGGACGTTTCCGTCAACCCTGATCACTTGAAGAGATCACCATGGGGCAGCATATATGGTTTGAAATTGAACAAAGATCTTTCGTTGATCAGCCCTGTCGTTCATGTCACCTATACATTTTGCCCGCCCTTTTGCAGGCTGCGTCGCACCGGTCGTCACGCTCTCAGGCGCCTACAAAGATCTCGTTTGGTTGGAGACCACGCGGTCCTTTGGTGACATCCGCTTGAAGGCGCCTCACAACATTGCTCCTCGCGTGCACGGGTTCGATCGGATTGGGATTGCGCCGGCTCTGTCTATGTCATCCCATGTCAATCCTCCGTTTAAAAAAGAAAAATAAACACACTCATGTCGGACGACATGACATGGCTTTAGAATTTTGACTGAGCTCCCCATGTCCACAATTGGCAGCAGACTACGTATGGTATACTTTTCTCCATGTCTCAAATATAGATATCTTGATTACTAATCAACGGGGAATTCATCGAATTGCTCATGTTTACTTTATATGAATTGGGTGTTCTCTAATTTGCCACGCACCTACAATAATGCGTTAATTTGTTTGTTGAACCAATACCCTGGGAAACAACCTTATTCTGCATGTCTATACACCAAAAGAATAGTTTCTATTGGACATGTCATTCCTCCTTTACTGGTACTTCATGGTACAATCAAATGTTGAAGTCGTGGCGATTTTCTATTTTTGAATCGTCTCCATTGGTGTTTGAATGTATGGAAGTCGTGGCGATGTCGCGTTTGGTTGGTGGACCCCCCTTCCTGGCATCGCGTTTCCATTGGGGAACGCAAGTTTTTTTTCTACTATGCAGTGACTTCCGCGGTTGAGTGTAGCATTTGTACTCAGATGTGAACTGATGTGAGGTGAAGAGCTGTACTGTTGTGGCCATCTCGTGGATCGACAGCAGTGAAGCTTGTTGACTGGAGTCACACTGGAGTCGACAACTCAGGTCATTTGTGAGCCCGACGTCTTGGTGAGGACTCTTGGACTCCGATGATCCGAGGAATTCCACCCCCACGGTCGGCTCCAACACACCGAATCTTCGTACGCTCCTATAAAACCCGGTGCGGCAGAATGCGGCAGATCTTCTTTGAACCGTTAACTCAAAACTTGCCATTCCCCCGTTCCGCCCGTGCTCCCGCCGCACACGTCCTGGTTCCGCCCTCTCTCCCGGCCTCCTCGTTCTCGCCGTTTGAGGAACCTCGCTCCCGAAGACTGGGCCTTGGTCTTGGTCTCCAGCAAGGCCATGCGGTCGCATCCGGTCGCCATCCAACGGTGACTGTATATGTGGGTCCGTCGCATCCTATCGCAAAACGATGATCCGTTGTGGTTTGTGCGAATCCATGTGTTTTGATTCAACTGAATTCGAAGGTGGTATATAGATGTCTCTAATTAAGGAGATCAAATGCTGGTTCTATCCGTCCCCATTTGTAGGTCACATATTACTATCACCACTACCAAATCATCTCAAACGAAGACCTCGCGACACGTAGTGGGACCACTCTGAAATCGCCAGTCGAAAAAAACGCGCCGTCGAGGTCACCGCCAAGATGAGCAACCAGGACATCGCGGAGGTCTGCAAGGCCGGTCGATGTGTCATGTGCGGGCGGTCTTGGTGTGGAAGAATGCTGAGAACAGCGGCGCCGTAGGAAAGCGCAGATAGGGGATGGGAAGGCCACGGAAGGCCGGAACAGAGGAGCACTCTTTCATCATTTTCCATGTGAAGAGTTTGAATCAATCTGATCGACTGCACATGCGCCAAGGAGTACTTCTCACAAGGCAAAGATGCAGTCGCTGCGAGTCTCCTGGAGCAGTTGGGTCAGGGTCACCTACGGATTTGCCGTTGATTTGTTGGAGCGTTTTTGTTGGGGTCATATCATCCTTCTGCTTCGTCAACATTCCCAGGTAGACTGCTTTGTACTTTTTTTGATCATTTGTGTTTGGTGTGAGTTGACCATTGACCCAGCTTTTGTTTGTTCGGGGTCACCCGACGTGCAAGAAAACGAGCGTCCCAAAAAAAAACCGCTCAAACTTGGCTTGCACGTGCTATGTCAGGTGCTTGCAGTTGCTCTTTGTTGGGTTTAGACTTTTGAGATGCTTCGATCGTAATCAGTGTTGGCTCAAGCTGTGGCCGGCACGTGATGTGTTGAGCTTTGAGCTTCATGAGTCTATGGATAGTCGTCTATGGCAGAATCTATTTTATGTTGATTGGAATGAGGTGAAGCGTTTGGAACAAAACATACAGTATCACTGGCTGGCAGCTCTGTCCGCTCCTTCGCAAGGACTCCGCTACCTCGTGCAAACAGTGCGTGACATTGAGGATTACTTTGGGAATGGTATTGGGGCTCACCAGTCTCATCCCCTTCCCCAGCCTGTTTGGATCGGTTGCTCTCCTTCTTCGACACAGCTCTCGATGTATGACACAGTGACAGTGGAGAGGCGGATGAATTCCATTACCTGCCCGTGGATGCTCAGGCTGAGCAGGTCTGAAGACGAAGCCCAGCCATCAAAAAAGGTGGATTCTCAAGCCCGAAGACATTGGCCGCGAGGCTTGTGCCATGGAGGTCATTCGCAGCTTGAACAATACGTGGGAGGCAAGCGGTATCGAAGTGCGCGGCCAAAGAGTATGGGCGAAGACCTACCAAATGCTGCTGGTAAGGCCTCATGATAGTTTGGTTGAGGTCGTGGAGAACTGCGTCACACTTGGAAGTCTGAAAAGGACCAGTGGCCTGTTTGATCGGATGATCAGCAGTATCCTCCAGAGTGATTCAAGACCTGGCAGGAGAGTTGAGCGATACTTACAGAATGATGGCACTCGACTTGACTGTCTCGCCGCTTCCACGGCTGCCTTCCTTGCGTGCTCATATCTCCTTGGCATAGGAGATGGACATGGTGACAACTTCATGCTCACGGAAGATGGTGAGCTTTTCCGTGTCGACTTCTCCTTTCTCTTTGGAGACAAGCCCCGTGGGTTCGATGCGCCGGTTGTTTGGTTGCCGTGGACGGTGCAAGAGGCTGAGCGGGGGCCCGAATGGACGATGTGATCGATGCAGCTCAGAGGGCTGTGAAGGCTGTGCTGTGCAGATCAATGCAGGAAATACGTGCTACTCTCAAGGCATCGGTGTTTGAGATGGCATTTGAGTGGAAGAAGAGTCCAGAAGAGTATGTTGTGAGTCTGAGCTGCGAAGATTTCAAATGCAAAACAAGCAGTCTTGGAGCCTTTGATCTCTTCAAGTCAGCAAAAGACTTGTTCCACAATGTTGGCTACGGTCGTATTGCCAGTGAGTCTGATTGTGAGGGTATCAACCTGAAGTCTCCAGCAGCTTTGGCCCTTATCAGGTCAGGGTCTGCCACAGAGGAGTGCTCGCCAGAATCTCTAGCAGAGTTTGCCAACGCTTTACTTGACCAACCTCAAGCTGAATCAGGTTTAGATTCTGATCTCTATCAGTTAGTCAATGCTTTACTTGACCAACATCAAGCTAAATCATGTCTGGATCATGCTGAATTGCATCAGTTTCTCGAAGCTTTTCTTAACCAACATTGTCTAGATGGTCCTGTCCGTGAGTTTGTCCAAACTTATCTTGGCCATCAAGCTGAATCAGGTCTTGATGATGTTTTGATGCTTCTTCTATTCTTGGCACGGCATGAAGGCTACGAGTATTTTTCAGTAGACAGACTTCGATGACCAGAAAGCCTTTCAGGACTATGACTGCTCAATCCACGCCAAAAAGTCACAGGCACTTTCGTTCACCCGCATTTTTCTTGGTGTTTGATTTCTGAATGAGAAGATTCCTTCGATCGTGTTTTTTGTCCGTCGGATGGAGCTGTTGGGTAGCTTCTCATTGGAAGTGGGAGCTCCTCTCGGGAGTACATCAAGAGCAGTCAGCTAACCACCATCTCCGGGACAAGCGATTGCTACACAACCGGGTACCTCGCAGCAATCATTGCCCAACAAACTGGGGACAGCACAAAAATCAACCAAACCACAAACCAATCTGCTTTCTTATCTTACCACATCACTGATGGAATTTGGAAGACCCTTACTTTTGAGCTTCCCTATACTACTACTTTTTGTCTAGGATGGTCTAGGTAGTATCTTGAGCTATTGACAGTGGATCCACTTGGTGATCTTGCTGGGGCGAAGCGCAGTCCCACTGCATAGAAACAGCTGCCCAGGTCAAGCGCTGACGACCGCGGCACGAAAACGCGGTGCCACAGGGAACTTGACCACGGTGGTGATGCGCTTTGGTTGGCCACCTGGGTGCAACGGAGATGACACGGGGAAAGTCGGATGGAGGGAGGGCTCCGGGGCTGCTTGCTTGGGGGAGTTGTTCGAGTTTTTGGGTGTGTGCTTGGGTGTTGGGGTGTTGGAATGTGATTCTTATAGATCTTATAGCTTGTTATGTTCTTATAGATCCACCAAGCACAGGGGCACAATAAGTCGGTGATATATGTTTGTAGATCGTGCATCCTGTCCTATACACTTTTGTTCCCAGATTTGCTGCAGAAGAGTTTTGAGGTGTCTTTGGTTTTTTCAATTAATTTCACCTTTTGGGCCCTTGACAGTTCTGATGGTCCCGAAATGTTCTGGTCCGGAGAAGCACCCGTCCAGCAACTGGTCCATGAACCACTTTGCGTGGCGACTTTCACGACTTAATTTTGCACTGAGTTGTCCCAGCAAGGAGAAGTGGATCACCTGCATAAAATTTGTTGAGGGGATGCATTTGCCCCACTCAAATCCAACAGATGGCAAAAGCTCAACCTTTTTCAATCTTTAATTAAACAAGGACATTGAGGGCAATTGAGGGAGTCAGTTGTAATTTGTATCATCCAACTGAGTTGGTCGTATTGAGCAACTCATATTGCTGCTTCACCTTGCTCCTCCCCCCCGCCTCTCTCTCCTTGTTTTCAGAGGCAGATCTCTTGGTAGTTCATGGTTCTTGTTGCAGCTAGTAACCAGGACCATGATCATGCTTCACAGAAGATCAGTCCTGCCAGTAGTTTATACGGGTTGTGTGGATCCAGACATATCCAGACTGAGCAGTAGAACATAGCAAAACCATGAATCAAGACCACATGCCAAGGCCACGACATGCCAAGACCACATGTCCCAAGGCCCGGAACCAGACCCTTTCTCCCCTTTGCGAATTCGTGGTGATCCGGCGGTGGGAGGCGGTGGTTCTGCTAAGGACACCCTTCCAGCCCGAGTTCCTGGCAAAGAGTCGGAACTCTGGAGTCCTCCAAGTCCAGTGAGCCCACGGCCTTCATGAGCCACGCCACCGTGATGTGACGACCAAAGACGGCTTATTGGGAGGGTCCACCCCCTTAGCAGGCATTGTTTGGTAGGAATTGTTTGAACTGAAAGCTATAACGGAGATATCACAAAATCATTCCGTACAAATTCTGTATATTAATTGTGGAATTGTGGATTCAACAAAAAACGTGCCTTTTTCAGTATTTGTCAGGAACCACGACGTTATGACCTTGAAGCCATGTCAGCGTTTGCAAATGGGGAGTCCCGGATGAACTCATTTAATTACTTTAACTTATACATTTGGAGAAGACCCTCATTTATACTTGAACATACTTGTATTACTTGATCTTAAATTTGGAGAAGACCTGTTGTTTTTTTCAAGATGACTCAAAATTCCAGAAGCTGCCAGCCACTCGGAAGAAATTGAGCAGCCACTGGACCTTGGGAATGGCCCCTCGAGACGAGAACAGACGTTTTTTCTCCTCTTCAACCACTCCCAGTTAGCTGTAGGACAGACCCAGACTGCCACAGGATGTCCCAGACGTGTCAGGTTTGGGTAAATGACGAGACTTCCAAGTTTTCGGTTTGGGAAAGAAATCAGGAAACGGAAGACGAGACGTGTGCTGATCGATGTTCCATTCATGTTGCAAATCCTTCTTACTCAATTCGGTGCAACCCAAAAGCGGCCACTGGGAAACCATTGGGCAGCGGCAGTGGTGCAAAAAACAGTCAAAACGAGTGCATTCCTTCTTCCGCTTTGACTCAGTGATCCTTCGAGTTGTCACTTCGGAAAGCGGGTTGCGGAAAGTGGTCTCTCTCTTGAGACACATGCCGCCAAAACGGTCGTTGTATCGTCCAGTGGACGTGAGCGAACGACGCGAACTACCTGATGTGGATGTCAGTTGAACCAGTTAGTTGTTGGGTCGAGGTTAAAGCCACCAGGATGGAGGAACATGATTCTCTGCTACTGTATAATATTTAGTTCTCTCCCATTCACTAGAAAGTGTTGTACTAGAGGGGTTCTGTTAACTTTGTCGATTGCGGCATTGGTACTCAAGCGGATTGATCGCCCTTGTTGTCCTTCATTATGACCCTGTTCTTACATCCCACAAAATCTATATGGCACTGAAATATCTTATCATTTCTACACCTACTGTATTTACCCCGACCAATGTGCTTGGCAATCGATATCCAGGCTCCACTGGTGACGTTTCGAGACAAAGAGCTCCGGGCGATCCAAAAGGCAAGCGTGGATCGCACCCAAAAAACGGCTGCGAAGCCAAAAGGGCTCGTCATGTCACGACGGAGTGCTGGGCGACGGGGACATCGAATGCATGGATCGATTGGTAGCATGGCTCAGTAGTTGGATCCGTGAAGGGTATGCTTGATCATGAAGCCCTACAGAAGGAAAAGATTGCGTTCTTTGCTGTTCATTGAGTAACCCGCTATATAGCCATTATATACCCCGTGCAAAACTCGCATGGACCTACATGGACCTACATGGAGCATGGGCCCTGAAAACCACGGGTTTGTAGAGGAATAAGGGTCGATGTGAGTTTTCAGGAGTGTATTTCATGGTGGGATATCATGTGCAATAAACATCGATACAAACATCTATGCATCTATGGAGTTGGATAGGCCATGCAACAGTCGTGTTCTGGAAGCATAGGAAAAATATACGAGCCAAACGTTGAGAGAGATTTCATGGGTTTGGCTCTTCAACAGTGTTCCAGTAGTTTTGACCCATCTCCATTTGGACGTGGGGAAAAACAAAACAGGTGATTGTTGACCAAGATCCAATGAAACATTGTGAGAGCTTGCACCGGGGTCGCACCTGCTGTTCACCTATGCTCCACTGGTTTCATATGCATTTCATTTTGGTTTAAGTTTGATCGACTGGTTTTGGCTTTGGATCAATCTGTATGAGTTCTTGTATTCGATCCGAGTTGATGCCGATGCCCCAAAGTCGGAGGGGAACCTTCCATGGAATGCGGCCGTTTGTTCGGTGGAATGCGCTGCCTGTTTCCTAGGCGATGCTTCAACAGCCGTGGGTGGCTGTCGCCGTGGGGTGCCAAGAAAGGAAATCACGGCAGGTGGATCTCCTCCAACAGTATCCATGAAGCGATGTTGCCAGTGCCTTTTCTTCCAACAGTCTCCTAGAAGAACAGCGGTTGTTTTTTTCGTCCGGGTTTTGGCATAACTGTTCTTTCCTGGTGACCCGGTCTAACATGATTGGGATGACAATGGATAACATGAAATGGTAAGAGGTCAAAACACGCGGCCGCTTCAAACCCAGAATGAGACAGGCTTCCTTCAACAGCAAGACTTTGGATCCGTGAAGGCTAATCCTATGAGCACCTTTCGGAAGATCAATGCTGACTGATGCCTTTCTTTCCCGTTACGGCTTCCAATAGAACCACTATCCGTCAGTATCCAGGTGCTACAAAGCAGTTGACATCCCGATGCCATCGAGCCAAGGGAGGGAGCTTCTTTTCATCTAAGACGTTGGTTTGAAGGCAGGAGCAATGGGCCGACACTGTTATGCCCTGATGATTGGGCAAGCCACTACCAACGAGCACAAGGAGATGAAGATTGCTGCTTTAGGAATACCACGAGCAGGCATCATAACGTTGCAAGCTTTAAGCTTGGTGCATTGATGGGAGGGCAATGGAGCGACTTGACCTCCAATATACGCAGATGCAAAGCAAACATGGTCAAACAATACCGCAACCATCTCAAGGTCGACGCTGCGCTTTCTCCAGATTGGCCTGTCGGAATGGCTCCAGTGGTTTCTGCTACACAGAAAGCGGTTGGGCATCCTCGCGGCGCCTTTCGCCAAGCAGGGGTCCGCTGAGGTCTTTCACCTCTCAGATAACATCAAGCATGCCAAATCCATTTGGAAGTTCATCGAAACAGCTAGGACATACTCATTTCTGTTTGGTGACCTGGTATAGCATAGACTGCCAATTGCACTGCGTGGAGTCACAGGAATTCTAGCAGGGAACAAGTCATCAGTGACATGTCCTCCAAGGTTTGCACAACATATATTATGGTAGGCACCATTGCTCAACACGAGTGAACCACAGTTTGCTCGAGCCGAGGTGTTTTCGGTGCTGGCCCTGCGGCAGGGCGTCCCAGCACGATTGATTTACCCGAGTGCGCTACATGTTCCACAAAAGATCTGAGCGATTGTGAGCGCTTTAATGCATCAAAGCCCCTTTCCCGTGAAGAACCTGTTGGACCTCCCGAGTAAGTGGAACTTTTATCACAAAAAACATCGTTTCACTGCCAGTTGAGGGAGCAGGAAACTTCAAGACTTCAAGTGTCCTGTCCTTAGGATATTTCCTGTTGTTGAGTACCAGCGGCTTGGTGCAGGTGTCGTAGTTCAGATAGCGGCACCGTTTTGACCTCATCAACTTGGTCATTATTGGGATGCTTTCGAAGCCCTAAGTGTTAGAGCGTTCAACATCGGTGGCAATCAGCCAGAGGTTGCCTTTCATGAGGACAAATTGGAGATACAATGGCTGACTCGAGGTGGCATTTTGTACCCGTTGACACAGTGCGAACGTCCGAAAGGCAAATGTGCAGGGGAGGAGCGTGAAGGAAAGATTGAGACAGAGACTTTCAATGTGAAAAGGGCCCCCAGAATGAATTTACAAAAAGCCAGCAAAGGCAAATCCAATTTTGTGAAACACTTTTGCCCCATGGTGCAGGTGGCTGCAGTTGTCTCCCGCCGGCGCGCTTTCATGGCTGTGGGATTTGGTGCCCTGGCTTGGAGAACCACTCGCCCTCCTTCAGACTGAAATGGATGTGGTTCAAACCTATACAATCTATTTTTATTTATATCATATATAATAAATACCAACAGTTTAGTGCAAGTATCCTTGTCCAATGGGTTTGGACGGCACCCAAGTCTTGTGCAATGGCCAAATGTTTGAAGAGACTCTTTCTGATAGGGGAAACTCCTGTTTCAAGTTGTTCCAAGGATCTCTATTTCATTGTTCTTGACCATAAAGGCATCAATGTGAGAGAGGCATCTTTGATCCGGTGAAACTCAGACGATCATGTGTTTGTACAAGGCCACATGGTGTTGGTGGCTGTGGTGGTTTGGAGGACCTAAACCTAGGAAACCAGCTGGTGGGGCAATTTGGGTACAATTTTTGGCACCTCTGAAACAAAGGTGTTTTTCTCTGAAAACAACTGTGGATCCCCGCACAACCTTTTGGAAGTCAACACAACACCAATCCAAAGTCACAGTGGATGTTTCTTAAGGGTTGGGGATGAATTTCTACCTAGTCAGTGGATAAGCTTTTAGCTTTTGGAGGATTGGTTTCCCCACTGAAAACGAAGAGGTGGAAAAATGGCTAACTGGTTTCGAAGTGTGTTCGCAGGGGTAGCTGAACCCCACTGAACTGTTCAGTCGCAAGTGTGCCAATCTGTTTGGACCTGGACTCTGTGGTTAGGCAAATTGGAACCCACGAGGATCCACGAACGAGAGACGTATTCACTTCCTTGATCAAAGAAAAGTGAATCCGCTCCCAACATATCTCCCAACCCGTTTCTTTATTTGTTTTGGAAGTTGTGTTATCGATGAGTACGGAGATCCGAGATCGTAGGCGGTCCCTCATTGTTCGATCCTCATCACGTTTGCATTCTCTCCTTTAGCAACCACCATGTCTACGGTCCCCCAAGGCTCCAGGTATTTAAACCCTCCAAACCCAACCTAAACACCTTCTCAGAAGGTACGACTGGAGCCCACTTGATATACATTCATGTGTTTGCTTCGGGTACACCCGTCTGGTCGTCTCACTCGAGGCCCATTTGTTGCCACCCTTACGGCGCCGCATCTTGGAAAAGATGCTGCTCTTGGTGCTTTGTGTCGAGGACCCGAGCCGCTCCGTCGATGCTCGTGGATGCTCGTGGATGCTCGTGGATGCTCCGGGAGACGTGTCGACCGGTGAAGTTTCGTCGGCCTTTTCGGTAGGGGGAACACGCTGTAAACCTTTTGATCCTCAAGTGATGAAGGATAGACCTGGAGGAATCCAACTCTTGGAAATCGCCAAAAGTGACAGTCACGAAGTAGTTGGGACCTTATTGATATCTACTGACTTTTGTGTGGGGCAGTGATGGCAGCAGCCCCCGACTGCTGTGAAAACCTGGGCTTTCATGCGTTGTTGCCCCGGCAAAGGGTGTGTTTGCTCAGCGACTCCTCTTCAGTGGCACATCATGGGAAGAAGCCTTTTCCATGGGACTGACATATTTACCTGCATTGGGGTGGTTTGGAGGGTCAATATCAGCATATATTCCATGCATGGATGGCCTGGGAGTTAATCTTTGTGAAGCTGTTGGACACATTGAATGAACGAGCAGAGATCAGAGCCGGTGGCTTTGGTAGGTCGTTAGCCGTTAGCGGATAAGTAAGGCCTTAAGGATCCATAAGGTGTTTTTTCATTTGAATGTCCATGCATACATGTCCTTTCGAGCCCTTACTCGCCCGCCAAACCCGTGCAAAGGATGCCAGCGTTTCCATTCCGAAAGAACAGGGAAAGCTGTGGACAGACAATTGATAGGGATGCTGCCAGGGTAATTGGTTTCGGAGGTTCCCCTCCTTTCTTCACTTACCAAAAGCCCTCCAATAAAAAGCACACTGCATGGAACAAACACACAGACCATCCAAAGCCACACATACCAGGACCCCCCAAGGGCTACAAATAGACACCCCAAATGGGGGGTCCTGGTATTGCAATGCCGGAATCCTGAAGATCATGTGTTGCCAGACCCTGGGTCGTCTCAGCCGCTGGCTGATGCTCCTGGGTCTCGTGCGGGGCCTAAGCCTACGCCCAGGGGCTGCGGTGCTGACATGTCTAAAATAACGAAGGGAGGAATGGCTTATGGACTTATTTCCCTAAACCCTAAACCCGAATCAATACATATATATAGAGGCCATTTGTAATGTGATGCAATGTGTTTCTACCGCGTCGGAGTTGCCATGAAAGAAACCAAGGCGGCACAAACTCGACCCAAAGATCGCCCGGAAAGCACCGCCCCACACATCTCAACTATAGAACTTGTGGAACCGGAGGTCACACAGGGTTTGCTTGGGGGCTGGCGCCCCAATGGACGGGATCACACCTCTCCTTCAATGGACGAGGTGGACAGCCATGTCGATACACTGTGACGCATGCAAAAGCACTGTCGATCCACGGTTCTCCATGCCATTTCTTCAGATCCCATAAGCGACCCAATGGACTGCGAAGTAGTGTCGACTTGGTTTGAGAGACTTGGATGAGAACCCCCAAACGAAGTCTGGTAAATGCCAAATGAATTATATAGCTATTAATGGTTGGGAATGACATGGAATGACCGTGCCTGAACTTGTCCAACTGTTAAATGTGACATGGACATGTTTGTTGTGAAGAAGTAAATAATAGTAAATAGCATCTATACATATCTATAATATAGATCTAGAGGAGCTGAGAAACCTGTAGATAACTCAACGACAAGTTTCACAAACCAGTAAATATGTTCACCAAACATGTGTGACAACATCACCGTTACATCAGCTTGGCCAGTTAAATACATGGACGGTTTGCTCACCTTCTTGTCTGAAGACAGAAACCAGACCACAACCGAGTGGCTTGCAGTGAACTTCTATGGGCGAGAGGAGCCAGTTTTCTTCAGGGCGAACAAAACCCTGTACGAGCTCCTTTGCCCCAGCCTGTGTGATTTCAACCCGATATGCAGCCATGTTTTGACCTCACCTTGATCAGCCCCGCCCAAATAGGTCAGGTGCCTCAAACCATTGAACTCCTCCCCCAAAAGGACGCGGAAGAGGAAAATGGTCATCCTGATCCTGGGCCATGCAATTTTCCCTATGCTTCTTTCAGGGAGTGTAATACCAAAAAGAGGACTTGTTGGATATTGGCGACCGGATCCGTAGCTGTCCACAGGTCGCCATGCTCTTGCTGGCCGTGCAGAGGTGCGGGTTCCTCGCGCTGCGGGTTCCTCGCGCATGGCGGTCGCATGACGTATTCGCCTGGTGAACCCCAGGGGTCGTCGGTCGCTCCCAAGCGCACAATCACAGGGAATGGTGCTGGGAAGGAAAGATTTACATCACACAAGGTGAGGAAGGAGCGTAGACTCCCTCAAGGAATCATGGTTGCGTGGATGGCATGGCCCCGGATCAGGAGGAGGACCATTTTCCTTAAAAAAACAGTGAGAGTGATGCCAGAAACATCCAGAACCACCAAAAGATGGCCCCAGAAACGCATGGAAGTGAAGGGTTTGAGGAACATGTCCTTCTTGAGGACTTAGCTCAGGACTTCTCATCTTCTTTGAGAGCATATCTCAAAGACCAAAGAACCTATTCATCAGGACTTTGGTCATCCCAAAGATCCCCACTTCGGTCATGTTCCTTCAGAATCTTTGGAACCAACGGGAAACCGACCTGTTTAGCCTGATTGGGACCGGGGAACTGGGAGAACAGATCAGTGATTAGTTACCACTATAGTTGAGAACCAGTGGTTCCAAAGAGTAAAACCTGTAGAGCTAGACTTTTTCTGGTTCCGTATATGGTGGCTGCCTGGAATCCACTGGGAGTGATTACTTCGTCATTCTGAGTCACCTTCGTCTCTCACCTCCACTGCTTGCGGTAAAAAAGGTCGTCCTTCCGAACACGCCATGGTCGCACCGCACGGATCCCGCCAGTCACTTGCAACTCACCTCGCCGCGCATCCTCATCCTCGCCGACGCCATGGCTCGTGCCTTGCGCAGTGGTTCTCAGCTCATGCCAGTGGCCGTGGCCGCCACAGTGGCTGCAGCTGGCTGGGCGTTCGTGGCCCCACCACGAAGTGTGGCCACCAGGGAAGTGAACAGGAGTTCTGGGATGGATGGAGTTTCCATTGCACAAGCCGAAAGAGAATGGATGGAGTCATTCTGACCCGCAGTTTTCAGTGTGTACTTCATCTTCATGTTTTGTGGAGCCGTTGCTTGACATCACCTCCAAATCTTCAGTAGCCGTTTCTCCTCACAAAGATCATGACGTTTACCGATGGGTGTATCGAATCTCAGGTCGAATCGCCAGATCGTGACTAACCAGTTAGCCTCTGGCGACTGTGTAGCGTCCTTGTTGCACTCCCAAAAAGCGAACACATGGCAGTACATGACATGACACTTCGAGCTGCTAACCCACAACATATGTCAAACATCGGCTGCAAACATGCGGGTTTTTCCTTCTTCTGCTTCTGCTTGTTGGTGTGCATTTTCCAGGAGCCCAGTAGCTCCCAGAGCACCCACCGACACCACCGCTGCCTCCGGCGCCCGTCTCGGTGGCGCTTCCGTCCTCCTCACCGCCGCCGGCCTCGCGGCAGCGGTGGGTCTCGCACGGGCGCGGCCAGCCATGCGAGCCGGTGAGGAGAAGGAGATGGAGCCATAGAAGAAGTTGATGGGGAGAGAGTTGGGGCTAAGAGGCCTAAAAGGTTGCGAAAGGACCCAAGCAGGACCGGCACCGATCTGAAAGCTCCAACTGGTTCAACTTTGAACGAGCAGTACACCCCGGTTGAGGAAGTCCTGATGTTGTGAGATGCCACTTAAATGGGTACATATATGAACAGAATTTTCCCGCTGGATGGAATTGGATGTGAAGGTGTCCTATTGTTCATTTTGCCCCATCCAGGTCAATATCGGATTTATATGCATGCCCTGTCAAGACGTCTCCAAGTGGATTTGACCGTTTGTTCAGCTTGAGTAATTGGTGATTTTTGCGTGACCGCACCACCAACAACCTGATACGTATATTCTCTTGAGGAGAAGAAGCCCTTCGACGTCTGGGAGCCCTCGACCTATGGTAACATCTCCATGGATGACGTGAAGAAGTACGGCACTGCAGGGACTTTGTCGTACGTCATCACCGAGCTGCTCTTCTGGGCCATTGCCTTCCCCACGGAGCCTTGGACGAAGCGGGGCGGGCTTCTTTTTTCTGGGCGAAGCGGGTAGCTGGGTATGTTTGGGGAAATTGAGCAGGAAGCCCGCATCTCAGGTGCTAAAAGAAACACACACCTTCATAGGGTTCAACAATTTGTACAGAAAAAAAAATGTATTACAAACGTCTTCACCGGGACAAACATTCTGTTCTTGAACAATCTTATAGATAGAGCCTCAGAAACTGGTGTGTGAACGTTTGTAAAGTGGTTATAGAGCTGTTTTCCACCAACCCAGCTTTCAGCAGGTTTCGCCCGATCTGATTGGATGGGTGCGGGTTTTCCTGACAGCCTAGGAGTGCATCGTTTACCTCAACACCGCAGGACGGCGACAACGGTTGTGCCGTTGATGGCGGCTTTTTGGGACTCGGATGCGCCACGGAACTGTTCACGACTCGTTAATTACAACGCATGTTGCATGCGCTTTTCCAACAACGAAAGATAAATCAGGGTTTTTGAGTCCCTACAGCGTTTCTCATTTGATCATAGTTTCTTTCTGTCAAGGGATGCCGGACGGGTGCTTGTTTGTGCGTGCATGCTCGTATCTATGTCATGAGTCATGACTCACACACGATGGATTCGATTGGCTAATGATACTTTTGTGCAATGAACAGTGACTTCCATGATTTCCATGCACCAAAAAAGCGTGAACTCCAGCGGATTGTCCCCAAGTACGGACCCCAAAAGGGGTTGGAAAGCCAACTGGGCAGGACATTGGCCCGACTTCAGCAAGCCGGAGGAAAGTGCCGCTGTCTTCGGCCTGGTCTTCGCCGCGTCCAACATCGCCCGGCTCTTGCTGCCACTGCGCTTCGGGGCAGCACTGGCCATGGTGCCTAGGCAGTGGTTTCAGTCGAAGTCAAAGGCAGAGCCAGGCAGTGTGGATTCCTCCCATCTGAGTAAGCACCTGTTCTGGGGAATTTCAGATCATGAGGCCATCGTCGCGTCTCGTTGTTTGGTGATCATGAGGCAGAACATGTGGCCCAAACCCGTCTATGTCATGCCTCGGGCATACCCGTCTATCACAGTTTACTGGGTCTTGGAGGTGAATAGACTTGCAAGTGCACACGAGAACCGAGTGACGGACGAGGGCGTTGGATTGTGGTCAATGTGGTCGGACCATCTTGGACCGACCACGAGGGCTTTTATGGACCTCCTTGGAGGGCTCAGCTGTTTGGAGGGTTTGATGAACCACATTGGACTGGGTGGTTTCAGAGATGTTATTTTTGAGATGATTGAACCAGATTGAACCCACTGACTCATATTTGTTCATGTGAGGTGAAACCACCAACCGGATCCAACCAGTTACTGTAACCAGTTCTTGAAGGGATTTAGGGGTGGAATTGGATAGAATTGGTGGAAGTCCTTGGCAGTTCCACTCAAACTACGTCTGTGGAGTGTCCGCCTCGTCTATGTGGTGCATCATGGGTCCGGATCGTCGCGATGCCCCCCGGTGCCATGCTCCACAGCCACAGAACGAACTCAACCCTATGTAACTATTCAATTTCGTTCATGTTCGGTGGGAAAAAGACATGTGTTTTTCCTGGTGCCATGCTGCACGGCCACATGTAGTGATGGACCTTCAGAACGACCTCAACGACCTCGTTCGACACGACCTCGTTCAGCGCGAGCGGCTCGCGTGCTTTTTCACAGCGGTCAAAGGAGCAATAAGAGAATGGGGCAGCGGAACGGGTACTTGTCCAACATGACGGGGTCTTTTGACATGAAGAACTGATGATGTCATATACAGCTCCCTTTCCCATCTCGTTCAACAATATGCTTCCCTCTCTCAAGCTCCGGTCTCAGCAAAGAGTACAGTTGAGATCAAGTTCCTATAGGATCCTATAGGTATATAGGCTCTTGGAATCTCTTGGGTAGATTGACCGAGAGAGCGCATCACTTAGAGTTGATCGAACCGGTGAGGCGCCTTGGGTGGACGAGAACATCATGCAAAAGTTCTTTAAACAGGAGGCCCAGGAGGCCAAGGAGGGCGCCTAATGTCCGAGTTGCAATCTTCGGGCCGAACTGCGGCAAGGTCCGCAGTGCGAGGCTTGGGAGTCTTCCACGAGCCTGACGTTTGACCGTGATTTGACATAAGAAGCAGTCACCACCTTGTTGGTTTAGACCTGAGGCCATTTTGCAGAGGGGTCCTTTGTTGTGCGAGGGGGGGGCTTTTCTTCTCTCACCGTAATCAGTGAATCAGACGATTCTTACCAAGCTGCCCTTTTTTGTCCCAATGTTCACATCGTAATCCATCGAGTCAAAGAATAGACCTGACTTCCAGCAGTCACAAAGGGATGGTTTTTAGTCCCATCCAGTGAGTGGATGTTCTGGGCACCCCTATCCTCCAAGTTCCGCACCCCGACATGTGAGTGCTGACTTCTTGCTTCAACATGGTTCAACGTCCCAAATTGCTCGCTTGGAACATCTCGCTTTTTGGCAGATGAGATGTCTGGAGTCCTTTGGCCAATTTTTTCACTGCCAGATGTAGCGATGCAAATAGATGTCTTGAGTCGTTTGGTCGTTACTGCCAACAGAACATTATCAGTAGTCAGTTCTCCAAAGGTGACTTGACGATCACATCTTGCCAGCAGCAACCACTTAAGCCTTAAACTTGAGAATCAGAAATTGATGGGCACATGTTTGGAACGTTCGTAGTAGATAGAGCAACTGTTGTGCATTCATGCTGTTTTTCAATACTTTTTCACGGAGCGTTCACATCTTCAACATGCCTTTTTTTGTGGAGTCATTCCTGGACTTTAGCGGTCAACCAGCGTTCAGGTAAGAAGACTTCCTGGCCTCAAATCAGATTGCCCAATGCTTTTCGCCACCGAAGCCAGTCAGAGTCAATAGGACTCGGACAGTTTCCGGCTTCAGTGTGGCCCACATTCCCATTGGACAGAGTGAGACCATTCCATCCGCATCTCAGAACATGTCCGAAAAGCCAAAATAAGCTGAAACGTTATTGGACTAGGTACGGAAGATATGAGATATGCGATGTTTTGTGCTGTTTTCAGAACATGACTTACCATTCCATATTAAGGATCTGGAATCAATTGTTCGGGTCATGGCTTCCTTGCATGACTATTTCCAGGATGTAAAACACCTGTCAAAAAAAAACACTCACATTATCACAACTCTGTAAAATACCGGTGGCGGCTAAGTAATTAGTTAGGAACCATCATCATTCACAAGTCGGAAGAACAGACATGGGATGTAAGGGTACTCAAGAATCCACTGAGTGGGGAGGACTTCTTTGATCCCAAAGATGAAGACTTGTTCTTCATTTGGATGTGCCTGGGGATGTGAAGCAGGTTTTGGAGGTCTAAGGGTTAGAAGCCGCAATGTGAGAATGGTGCATGACTCCAAACTTTCCGCATGTGACCAGTGTCGGGGACGTCGACGGAACTTCGGCGAACCGTGGCGTGGAACTTCCGAGTTCAGCGATTTCATCGCTGAAAGGGTAGAGTGTTGCTTCAGTGGCGATGAAACGGGCCTTGGTCGTTTTGAGTACATGGGCAATGCTATAGTTAATGCTGTTGATGAAGAGCGGTTGCCGCTGTTTGTGTCATCATACTGCCACACCTCAACTGGGGGAGTGAGTTTGTGTGAAGCCAGGTTGGCCAGGTCTTCTGGTCTCAAATCAAGAATTTCCAAACGAAGCCCTCGGGAGGTCAAGACATCGCACCGAGCGATCTGGCGCCCTCGCACTGAACGCACTGGGGGCGGGTGACGAGGTGCTTCAACGTCGCTGCTTGGACCAAGAGCTTGGCGATGACGCTCTTGCGAGCTCCCCGAGGGCGCAAGTCCGTCCGGGGCGCCGAGGGCGTCCGCTTTCGCGTCGAAGATCCGATTGCCTGCCCGGTGGCATGTTCGGAGATGTTCGGAGAGATCGGAAGTAGTGGGGGGACAGAAACTGATTTAGGGTATGGTGGGTATCCTCCTCCATAATCTCTTTATCTCAAGGCGTTGGTTGGAACAACACAGATAGAGAATACGCACACATATCCTAAATCGGACACTTTCCACGAAAACACACTGGTGGAGTCGGTTCGCTGGAACTGTTCTCCTGGCTCGGGAGTGAGGCAGGATTGGCGGTTGTTTGGAGACCAACTCCTTTTGTTTGCGGGGGCGTCACTATAATCAGTGAGGAAGACTGAGGTTTGGTGCAAAACCTATTTCTTGCAAGCAACGTATGCATCTATGGTCCTTCAGGACGACCATCCACAATCAGACTGGGTGAATCTTCCAGTCTGATGCTTCGCTTTTCGGGGGTCCGTGTGAAACAGCCGAGTATAATTGAGACAAATATCCAGAAGATGAGACAGCTAAGTAGACCAACAAGGGCTTCTTGATGCTTCTTGGAGATGGACGAGTGGTTGATGCGCGATGGACGATCGTTGATGGACACCTCGAGTCGCCTCGGGGTGTCATGGACGCCCCTCAAAGAGGTGCCCAACAAGGGAGACTCCTCTTGGAGGAAGCGATAACCGCAAATCCTGCTTCCCACAGCATTTGCCGAACGACAGTTATATATATAATTGGATGCAGATGTTGCTTCCAATACGCGATGTTCAGAGCTGGAGAGGTGAGCTACAGACGTTGTTGGCGCGCCTAGGTGGTGACATGGTTGAGCCACATTTGGCTGTTGGTCAAAAGCAGGATACCACTGTTGAATAGGGTTCACCTACCTGGGAGGTCAAGCTACATGGTGTTGGGCCTCCAGGTTTTGACCCATCCCCATACGAGCAAGGACTGGGCAGAGTGGATCTTCATCCACGATGGTTTGGCAATTTGGGTGGGTCAAAGTGGTTGACCCCTGAAATTGAGCCGATTCCTTTATCAGGGATGTCAACCTTCCATTGAGGTTACTTTCCATGATAGTAATCAATAGTACTTATCTATGCCAAAGAACATGGAGTTTCAGAACAATTTCAGATTCTGTATACACTTGTTAAATCAAACACGTTTTGAGGCTGGGACTTCATAAGACAGCATTGTGGCCGGGACTTATCTTCGCATTGTTCGCGGACACCTTATGCAAGCTGACACCAATTGACACGCTCCTTCCGTGCTGAAACGTTCCAACTCATTGGACCTTCCGCTCAGATCGCTTCGGCATTATGTCGGCACATGGTGCTTCAACCTGTTTGAATTCCTGGTCGAACATGTGACGTGTCAACTGGTTTATGCCTATTCTGAGAAAGATCCAGATGGATTCTTCGTGAAGGCCACACGTCCTCAGGCAGAATCCTTGTCCCTGACTATCCCTTGGGAGGCGCGTTGGCGCACACACAGCGGGGGTCGTAAAGTGTTTGACCTTGTCTGTTTACCAGGGATCAACAAAGTCAACTCCTGGTTGATTTATAAGGGAATGTCCGGGAATGGCCTTAACATGCCTTAACTGATCAATCTTTGTAAACGGCATGTTTGACATTTGTGAATGATCCCTTGTGCCACTTCTCCTGCTCGTACTGCTAGTACTCCTACTTCTACTTCTACTCCTACTACATCATCCTACTACTAATCCTACTTATAATCCTATTTCCACCTCCTACTACTACTACTAGTACTAATACAAGTACTACTACTACAATACTACTACTACTACTACTACTACTACGACTACTACTACTACTACTACTACTACTACTACTACGACTACCACCACCACCACTACCACTACCACAACTACCACCACCACCACTACTACTACTACTGCTACTACTGCTACCACCGCCACCTAGACCTATTTGCTACTACTTACTACTTACCTAATCACTACTTACCTAATTACTACTGACTACTGACGACGACTACTACTACTGCTACTGCTACTCCTACTCCTACTCCTACTACTACTACTACTACTACTACTACTACTACTACTACTACTACT